CATCCGTTTTAAGGTCTTCTCGGAGGACATGAACAATGCTTCCAGGTACTGCACCGCTGCGGGAGAGTCCCGCCCGAACATGGAAGGGGGAACCCGCGTGTGCCGGCGGAAGGATGTTCTTACGGCCGAAAAAAAGTCCATGATCTTGAATCAGGTGCTTCCCCGAGCCATCAAGCTGCACATGGATCGTCTCCACATTCAGCCGTTCACGGGCCCAGTGGTTCTTCCGAATTTTTCGGCTGGAACATTATGCGGTGAGTTTGAAATACCCAGCTCCCACCACACGACGGGTGTGTCCGGCGCGGACATGGTTTTGTACGTTGCTGCTGCGCCGACTAGATATTATACTCATGCGTGGGCAGTGGCATGCTTTGCATTGCCTGATGGGCGTCCTGTGGCCGGGGTGATAAATTTTGGCCCGCATGCAGTCACCGATTCGGAGTTCAGTGTTCGTATTGCGGCACATGGGATTGCGCACGCGCTCGGGTTTGAGTATTTTTATTTTTTTCTCAGGAATATGACACAGACGATACCTGAGGTTCGTGGAAAGAAGAATGTGGTTGTTGTGTCTTCACCCAAGACGCTGGAAAAGACTCGTGCGCACTTCAACTGCACAAGTGCCCCTGGAATGGAGCTGGAGGATGAGGGTCAGGGTACAACGGCATCATCGCATTGGAAGAGACGCAACGCAAAAGACGAGCTGATGGCTGGCGGCGCCGGTGCCGGCTACTACACGGCGCTGACGTTGGCTGTTTTTGAGGACATGGGCTTTTACAGGGCGCAGTGGGACATGGCGGAACAGATGCCATGGGGCAGCAACTCCGGCTGCGAACTGCTGACGGAGAAGTGCTTGACCAATGGCGTCACCCAGTACCCGGAAATGTTTTGCCACGCCGCAAGCAAAGTTTTGCTATGCACATCGGATCGTTTTGCAGTGGGAGACTGCGATATTGTCAGCCACCTAAAACCCCTCCCCGTGCACTTTCAGTACTTTGCGGATCCCAGACGCGGCGGGTTCCTTGACGACAAAATGGACTACTGCCCTCTCATTGGGGAAAGCCAAGCCACGGGGTGCATCGATGGTAGGGCAGACATTATGCCTGGAAGCCGCATTGGCCCAAGCTCAAGGTGCTTAAAAGGGGTTGGGCTGCGTGATTCTATTGGTCTCACTGGGGACGTCTGCGCTGAGGTGTCGTGCGACAACGACACCGTGAGTGTGCGGTACCTTGGTGATGAAACCTGGCATGCGTGCCCAGAGGGCAGCACTATCACACCAACTGGGCCGGTGTTCGTGAGCGGGAAGATTGTTTGCCCGAGGCGCATCGAAGTGTGCTTATGTCCACTAGAAACGCAGTGCTGGCGCTGATGTGAGTTAGTTGGTATCATTTTTTTCCCCTCAATTTTAGTGGTCGTGCTGATCACGGTTTTAGTATTAATGTGTTGATTATAGCATAGGAAGCGCACTGCAGAAACGCCAAATTTGTGATGTTTGGGTTTGTGCTGGGGACAGGCAGCTCCACGTGAGATTATCTTTTTTTCCCCTTTTCCCTCTATAAAAGTGACGCAAAAATAATGAAAAAGAAATGTTTTTTTTTTTTTTACCATGTATGTCTGATTTGTGTCTTTTCAACAGGGCAGCTGATGCAAGCGAGGCAAATGAAAACACGGCGGCGCGCATCGCCCAAAGCGCGTGGGAAAAGTTATGTTCACCGTGTCGGAGATTATTATTATTATTATTTTTTGTGTGTGGGGGCCGAGAGTTGTGTGAAGTGGTAATGATTTTTGGTTTGTTGTTATTGTTAGGGGCCTTTCAGGGGAATGGCCCCGGTTTGACGCGCGTGCGGTGGGGTAACACCCCGGTGCGATTCTCTCGGATGTTCCATTGCGAGCCGTTTCTGTTAGTGCATGGTTTTTGAAGGACAATTAAGTTCATGGGCAGGTTTGTTTACTGCCTCTCGCACACTTTTTGAGGTAGATTGGCCAGCCAGGGCTGAATGATCCAACGGCTTTTTTACCACACTATTGCTTGGCACATTCCCCGCAATTGAGTTTTCATTGGTGGGGGCCCTTGGGCCGTGGACGGAGCAAAAAGGAAACAAAAAAATGATTTTCCCTTTCCGTGGCATTTTTGCCACGCCGGCGGGCCGAGAGTCCATCAGGGCAGTTGGCGGTGCACCTGCGGCCTTCTCGTAGTGGGCAGTCGGCTCTCGGAGAGGGTGCGCCGGGTTGACCCCACCCGCAATAATGAGCCCGGGGCCCCACTGGCGGATGAAGGCTTCCGCGAGTAACAGCGTGCCCGCATTCAGTTCCAGGCGGTGCGGCGTCGGCTGGGAGGGGTGCCAGCCGTTGCCTCGCCAAGGGGCTGCTCGGGCAGAATGTTTTGGCCACACGTGGGCGCACTTGCGGTGGTGCCTGCGGTGGTGCCTTGCGGCGACCGATGGGAAAGCACATCGCGGGCACTTGTCGACGGGAGGTGCGATTGGGCAGTCCCCGGCACTGGGCGGAGCCTGGGGAGCTCTGAGGGCACCGCGCAAAAAACAAAACAAAAAAAAACGGTGCCACCGACAACGCCAAGGCCG